CTCTCTATGCTACAGTAAATTCATCAAACAATTCTTGCACTCAAAGAGGACATAAAAAGAAACCATAATGAGACTAAAAATAACCTAGATGATATAAAGGACCAAATCTCCAAATTGAAGCTACAACTGGAAAGCTCCCAGACAACGACTACAAAGTATGAACAAATAAACCAGAAATCAGAGGGTGAAGCAGAAGAAATGGACCTAGAGATGGAGGAAATAGGAGAAGGGAAATATGGACTGTCATACACAAATGAAATACTGCAAGACCTACCTATAACAATGAAAATACAAAAGATCCTTTTACTCCTTTCTCCAAAATTCACCTGATGGCAAGGAAGAAGATTCTAGAAAATGGAACATAGAGCGGGCAGTGGAAATGTCTAGGGCAGTAGTGGCGAACCTATGGCAAGTGTGCGAGAGGCGGCACTCAGAGCCCTCTCTGTGGGCACACACGCCATGCCCCGGAGATGGCAACCATCCCTCTTCAACCAACCGCCCGCTAACTCGCCGAGGTTCCACATGGCTGGATGCATCCCAGCACCCATGCGCTCACTGGCCTCTGTGTGCGAGGGCCAATGGTGTCAGGCAGCAGCCGCCCCGACCCCTGCCTCGCCTTGCCCTGCGACAATGGCACCCTTGCCTTGTCTCGCCTCATCCTGCAAGATGAGCCTCCTGCCCACCACCCCACCTGCCAGAGACCCCCTGGATCTCCCCCAACCCTGCCTGGCTCCCACATGTGTCCCTCCCCACAAGCAACATCAAGGTGATCATGCCCACCTTAGCCACACCTACCCAGTCTGCCATGACCACCACAGCCATGCCCACCCAGTGGGCCATCGGACGGACCGTGGGCCACTATTTATTCACCCAAAACCCAACGTCAAACCCGTGAGCCAGAGATTTTCCAAACGGTAGTGACCAGATCCCTTACACCTACTCGTCTCAAGGAGGGGTTTTTATGAGATGGATTTAACAGAAAGAGTGCGGTTCGTAGAAAGTGTTTTTATCTTTCTTTTAAGAACCCGCTAAATTAACGCTTGGCCTGGAAAGCTGCTTGGCAAAGAAAGAAAGCGAGAGTCAGACTTAAAAACAGAGGATTTTATCTATCAGAGGGGGCACTATCTGTTTAATATATCTGTTTGAATATGATTAAAAGAACGGATGACTCTTAGATATAACTAGATTTTTATAATGGAAGATATGATTTAGAATTAAAATAGCATTTTTTCTTCTTCTTTTGATATGGGAAATTTGAAAATAAGAGGAGGATTAGTATGAATAATTTTTTAGCTATATAAATGTAATTAATATTGAGAAAATCATAACTGACAAAGATACTTTAAATATTGATGGGCAATCAAACTTTAATAAGAGCACGAAAAACAGGATATTGATTTATGAATTGATATTATTGCTATTTTTATAATATTAGTAAAATATGATGACGTCTATATCTAATTTTGTATACATCAATAGTACTCAGAATTGTAATTGTTTAATGAGGGGGAAAGGGAAAAAAATAGGGAAGAAAGGAAGATCAAGGAAAAAATACTGGATTGTGCAGTACTGAATAGATTTATATTGAAGAAGTTAATGTTAAATATGTGAACCCAGACAACATGTTGTTTATTAAGCTCTAAAGATTGTAATTTTAAAAAATTAATAAAACCTATAAAAAAAGGTTCACTGGTGTTTCATTTCTTAGTTGTTATACTGTGAAATGAAATGAGAGCCCCTGGTTGAGATTCAATCTTGCAGCTGTTTTATTAAGAAATGTCTACACAGAATTAAGAATTTCCCCAAAAGAAATTCATATCAACTGCTGTTCATTGTTTTATTTGCCCTAGGACTTACAATTTTAGTTACTTTGTCAAAAGTCTTGTTGTTATACATACAAAGTAATTTAAATTTTACCTGTATTATCTATAATATCACTTGTCAATACTGTGTATTTTCTTTTTATTTTATTTTATCAAAAAGAGTTCTTTCACTAAGGAGATTATAACTATTAAGAGTTTTGAAATGTGCTCCATCTTCAATATTATGGATAAAAGCCTTCTGCTATGTATTTTCAGAACAAACAACATAACCCTAGGTCAGTGATGGCGAACCTTTTAGAGACTGAGTGCCCAAACTGCAACCCAAAACCCAGTTATGCATCATCGAGTGCCGGGTGGGTGTGGCCCATTGGCTGTGTGTGGCCAATTGGGTGGACGTGGCCCATTGGGTGGGCATAGCTGTGGTGGTAACGGCAGACTGGGTGGGACTAAAAAGTTCAATCAATCAGTTCCAATTTTGCAAGATCTTTTTTTCCCCCGGGAGAAGTTGAAATTGACCGATTGAAACTTTTTTTTTTTTTTGCACATGGCGGCAGAGGCCTAAAGCGAAAAGGTTTTGTAAAACCCAGCTGAAGGCCTAGGACTCGGGCGATGGCGCGCGTGCCCACAGAGAGGGCTCTGAGTACCACCTCTGGCACCCGTGCCATAGGTTCGCCACCACTATCCTAGGTCAAAACAAGCACCTGTTGCAGATTATAAAGAAGTCCACAATCTAAAAGGATCCCAAAAGAAATTAACTATAGTGAAACAAAGCTGCTCATGTTGGGAACATATATTTTAAGATTTCTTATGGTAAGAAGAACTGATAGAAAGCAGAAACTTGACAGAAACCAAGCACATCTCCAAAGTTGCTATCTCAATTTCTTGTGTTCTCTTGCTTTCTTCACAATCTCCCTTTCTCAAAAGACGATCAATAACACCGCTGAATTCAGACCATTTCTGTAAAGAGCATTTGGATCACAATTTGGATTTCCAGGGAGGAGGCAGTACATTCCGGGGAGAAGCCCAGAATAAGAAACGGTACAGTCCTAACTGGATGGGGGAGGGGGAAGAGGTGCAGGATAGCTATCGGTACAGCCTAGATTCTCTCAGGGTATATCTGCTAGGTTGAAAGAGTATAGCTTTAGTCTGGCAAGATTCTATCTATTAGGTGTAAGAAAAAAAATAAAAATTGGCTCCATTGGAATTCATAGTATCATCTTTGGTCTAAGGCCTGACATATATAGTGGCTATTAATGTTCTAATCATTTTAATAATTTTTAAACAAAAGCAGGGGTTGGGTTAATTCATTTCATTGTGCTGTTTCTTACCACTTAGTTTCAACTGCTTTGCTGTGTATTTCCTGTTAATAAAATGCTAGCAAAGAAAGAGGGTTTGGTCCGGCTTTCCCTCGTTATTTTTGAATACTTTTCCCCACAAACTTTTTTTTTTTTGACCTGCAAGATATCGTCCAAGCAGATGGATTAAATCTGCTTTGAAGGTGGTGGCAATGCTCTTCAACCAACAGGATGAAGGTTTCTCAGTTCTGATATTCCAAAGGAAACAAATATTTTCTGAGTTAAACAAGGCTGCTTTTCAGAGAGATCTCTCAGGGAGAGAGAAAGTACAGTAGCCCCTTTCCAGCCTCAGCAACAGACAAGGTTGCCATCTCTCTCTCTTTCTGCCTTTCTGTGCCGTAATTAAATATTGTTTGCAGTGCTTATTGACAGAGCATTAAGCTCCACTGTGTTTTAACTTGTTCTTTGATAGTTGCCTTTTGCTGCTAAATTGATTTTCAAGGGGTGGGGCTTTCCTGATTTAACTCCTGCCAGGCAACTGAAAACTGAAAGGCAAGTTAAACAGAGCCTGGGCAGGAGTTAGGAACCCAGGCATCTTCGTAAACCACCTCTGCCTGATAGAGCATCTTAGCAGCTCTGCCATTCTCAGGCAGCTGTTGCCATGGAGTTGATTCAGGAGTGCTGAGGGATATACACATCTGAGTTTCCTAGCAACACACACACACACACACACACACACACCTGATAGAATGGAGAGATCATTGGATAGGAGATGCTGTCACTAATGGTACACTGTAATTGTTAAGAATGGGAGCTGTGAGGTCGATGCCTCCATTTTAAAAAAAAAGGCTGCAAGGGTGCATTACTTGCCTCCCTGAATCACAATCTGAACTAATATTTGGAGCCCATTTTCTTGGATTGTTTCAAGAAAACAATAAAATGAGAGGCAGAGGCTTTCAATCTGAACAGAAAGATGCATTTTAAAGAAATCCTACAAGGTTCATACAATTTGCTACAAAACTTTAAAGTTCTGTTTATATAAATCTGTATAGTAAATTATCTTACAGCAGCGTGAAGGTTTAAATCACCTTCAGATTTTAACCTGAAGTCAATCAATATTGCGAAGTCCTTGGTGCTCTCTGAGCTTGGTTGTTTTCTTGTAGATATTTCATTACTAAACTAGATAACATCATCAGTGCTAGTAGGGAGTGAGGTTTGCTCTCATTCTATATACCAGTGACTTGCCCTGCATTGGTTGGAGTGATCTTGGTGGTTCCTTTATTGGGCTGTAGTTAACTTGTTTGTCTGAGTTGGTAGTTCCTTGATTGGAGTATTGTTTGCTTCTTGATTGTTAGTCTAATGTTAATCTTGGTGTTAATCTCTACTTATTTGGGTGTTGATTGCTAGTGAGGAAGTATTTTGGTCTTTTTGTTTTCTTTTTGGCTTTTTGATTGTCTCTTTTGAATGGTATGTAGATGTTGTTTATCTCTGTGTGCCTGTTGATGACTAATTTGTCTGAGTGCCAGGCTTCCAGGAATTCCCTAGCACTTTTAGACAAGGCTTGGTCTAGGATGCTCACAGTTTCACATGTATTGTGAAATTAAGGAGTTTTCATCATTTTGCTTGTCATCCAAGAAGCTTCTTCAGTTCTGAATTGAAGAAGTTTCTTGGATGACAAGCAAAGGAAAAAAAACCCAAGAAAATTCAGTTGCCTTTTGGAAAAAGCACTTTTGGGACAACCATGACCTGGATGATTGAGAATTTCCATAGACATTTCTTTCTTGAGGCCTGTTCAAAGGCAAAAAACTCACTGCCATACCATCTTTGGGGCATTATGACTATTTTCCTGACTTGATTTTTTTATGTCTTTTTCTTTCCCTAGGATGACCCAGAAGGGGAAGAGATTGAAAGAGAGAAATCTAATTCCTTGAAGCTGGAATTCACAGAAGATGATAACTTCAAAACCAAAGTTAATTACTCATATGCAGCTGTACAGATACCTACAGATATCTACAAAGGCTGTAAGTTCTTCCTTATCACAGAACTCTTCATATTAAGACAGAGACAATATTCTATATGTTTATTTTAAAAAAATCTGTGATATAGACAAAAGAATTGGATTAATTTCCCTTCGCATGTATAGATCCTTATAGAAAAGTTACTAAAAAACAAACCAAAAAAATTACTTATTCTACTGTATGCTTGAGTTTTCTGGGACTGATTCTTAGCTAGTTCTTTCCTACATTCTGATGTCAATTGGCTGCGTGTGGATACTCCATTATCTGAATGTATAATTGCTCTACAAGAAAATTACTGTTGCTTTATTACAGGAAGGTATTATATTAGCCTTTCCTAAGCTGGTGTTTTTCTGATGTATGAAAGGATAATTCTAATGTACCAAATAGTCTGGGGTTATGAGAAACAGAGTCAGGTGTAACTAAAAGTTGGGGTAAGCTGAACTGGACTGCGCTCTCAAATAATATGGAAAAACTGTAGATGAACAATATCTCAAGAACCCTGTGAATTATAAAAACTATTTGGAGTTATGCCTAATGTTTATGAACTAAAGACCTAGAAAGTGAAGTTGCCCTCAGGTTAAAAATCTAGATGGAAAAATGGAATGAGGTTTCTATAGTACCAGTGGTTAAATATGTAGGGAAGGAGATGAACATCTTTGTCCCCATGTGCTGATTAAGCTTCAACTTGATTGCTGTGAGCTTTGTGTGTCAAGCCTTCATGAGCTTCAACACTTTATGGATGTACAGGGTCACAAAGTCACAACTTCCTATTACAATTCAAAAATGTTACAGCATCTATGAAAAATAATAGGATGTAAAGGGAAATATTTAAAAGTCCATCCTCAAGCCACAATTTGGCATCAATTTCAGGCATACTGAGAGCCACTAAAATTGAAGAATCATAGAATGAGGGTGGGAAGGAATTTTGGAGTCATCTGGTTCCATCCCCTGCCCAGTGCAAACTGGAGACTGTGCATTTCACTCAGAATATATATATCAGTGGTCTCATAAAAACAAATTACATCCAACTTTGGTATGTATCTTCTAACAAAAAAAGGATATTTATTGATGAGGATAATACATTGATTCTTCACTGTTGCAAGGAATACATCGATTTCTGCATTGATTTGAGTACATGTCATGGAATCTTAGGATTGGAAGAGAGCTTATAGATCCTCTCTTTAGTGCAAAATTAGACCTCTAGCAAAAGTGAGAGGCAGTTTGGTATAGTGATTAAAGTGCTGGCTTACAACCAGGAGATTGAGTTCTAGTCCCATTTTAGGCATGAAAGCTGTCTTGGTAACTTTGGGCAGTCACTTTCTCACAGCCCAACTCATCTCACAGGATTGTTGTTGTGGGGATAATAGGAGGAGGAAGAAGGTACTTTGTACTGTATGTTCACTGCCTTGAATTACTTATGCAATAATTAAGGCAGGATAAAAAAAAAATCTAAATAAATAACTAACAATAAAATAAAAAGTGAATTCACTAGATCATTGATTCCACTGATTACTTGTCAGTGAAGGACCGCCTTCTGATATCTAGTTTAAACCTGCTCACTTGTAGTTTTAACCCATCATTCTGGTTCTGACTTCTGAGGCAATAAAAATAAGTTCATTCCCTCTTTTATGTCAAAATATTTCAGTTATTTGAAGGCTGTTGTCATATCTCCTCTCAGTCATCTTTGCTTTAGGCCAAACATCCTTAAATCCATTAACCATTCTTCTGAGGGCTTGATTACCAGACCCTTTACCATCCTGACTGCCGTCCTCTGAATTTGCTCCAATTTGTCATTGTCCTTTTGAACTATGACTGCTGTCATAGGGTTCTGGATGGAAACAGCCCCAGATAGGAAACAGGCACCTCTTATCGTGAGCAGCTAAGTTGATTAGAAAATAAGCTTTGCTTATGAAGTGAGCAGTGAACTTATCTATTAACTATCCAATTCCCTGTTTTTGAGATCCACATCTCAAAATTCAATAACCCAAAGTGGGATCTTTTAGATTTTTAGTTGTCCTGCACCAAAGCCACCTACTGATATATTTTTTTTTAAAAAAATGGTACTGTCAGTGGTATCTCTTTTGTAATGGGCTGCAATTTTGGTGAGATCTGCTGCTTGATCCTCTTTGAGAGTTAGTACTGCTCTTTCTTTGCCTTGGAAAGTTCCATTCCTTTGCTGAATCTTCTCATTGCATGTGGCAAAGAATGGCTTTCACCTGAGCAGTTTTCCAAATAATGACTTCTGACTGTGTGAAAGTGGAATTGTCATGCTAATTAAAAGGGACACAACCATGCTCTTGAGTACCATATTGAAAATGCTTCTCCTGAGAGTCAGAGAACTGAATCCGACGGCTTGTCGCAATGTGTGCTTCCATCACTTTGTTACTCTGCATCTCAGGCAACTTCGCCCTTGCATCTCACTCTTTCTGAATTTTGCTTCTTTTCATGAAATGAAAGACAGGAAGTTTGTACATGCTTAGTCACAGAATAGTTGGCTATATGCATAATTTGCACTACAGGCTATCTAATTTCTATTTGGCGCACTATTGGCTTGTGCATTGCTTGTATTGTATTTCTGTCCACTGCTATTACACATGAGTGTATTTGTGTAGGGTAATTGTGAAGTAATTGGCTTACCACAGCAGAACTAATAAACCACAGTTCCTGAACCAGATGAATTCTACAATGGAAAGGGGAAAATCATGACAAATTCAGCCAACAGTGACTGCAACTTCTCGTGCATACAGTTTCAATCCAGGGGCATTTTTAATGTACATAGTATTAATACACAGGGAGGAGGTATATTTGAAATGGTGCATTTCTCCCTCCCACCCTTTCTAGCATCTCAAGGAAATTGTGGAGGCATTCATGTCCCAGGCTAATCTGCCATGGATAAATATGAAAAAGAGATATGATCTCAAATCCCTGCGCCAGCAATAGAAGGAAAGAACTTTCATCCAACCTTGCTAATCCTGAAGGGCTCTTTGCCCCAGGAAAACTTCATGGTGTAAACACTTCCAACAGATTTGCAATTTTGTGGAATTAAACTCTGCATGTTTCAAAAATTCTTGCCATTGCTGCCTGCTTACAGCCCCATTTGTGCCCTGCCCCTGCATGCCACTGGCTTATCAGTGGGTGAAGAACGTATTCCTTCTCTTCAGCTCCAGAATAGCCCTAGCCTAACTGAGGATCTTTACTGAGAAAATTAATTTGTTGTTACCCACCAAGATATTATTTCTCTTTTGCTGTAGGAAGGTAGGGTGGAACAACTTTTCTTGAAACTTAGCTTTCCTGGACTAGATAGTAACTGGGAGCTCATGAAGGCTTATTTTATCTTTTTTACCAAGAAAATGGTGCTCCTTGAATGTGTCCCAAAATGTGCAGTATTTTTCCAATTCATCGCTTACATTTCTTAATGTTTATTTTGCACAACTTGGTTGGAAAAGGACGTGACCATGAAAGCAGGGCGCAATCCTCTTTTTATCTCTCCTGCAACATTCCTATTTATTTATTGCCATTAACAAAAGATTAAGCAAAGATGTTGCCTAATTCCAAATACGGACCTAGAATCCAGTGGTATTAGTGAAGAAAACAAGCAGTCCTTCAGCTTTTAGAGAAGTCATGTCCTTCTCCTACTGTTTGATAAGGGGGCAATCTTTGCTGCTGTTTACCTAGGTTGAGCATCCTACAATCAAGAGGCTATGGTGCTTTCTCATGGCCCTTAGCTTCCCCATCAGTCAGAGCACAGTTTGCTGATTATGAATCTGTGTTGCCAGTCTTTGAATTCAGCCTTAGTACAGGTAAATGGAGCAACTGAGAGCAAGGGATCATTACGCACAAAGTATTAGCAGGCTAGTATAGGCTTCTCCCCATGTGGGACGTAGAAGATTTTCTATATACAATGCCCACTGTGCCTTCCTTTCATGCTATTCGTGGGAGAATGTACCACGTGCTAGAAATATAACTCTTGGCCTCCCTTTAGTGGCAGCTTGGAGGATCAAGATTGTTAAATCTCTGACACCTGCAAGCTTTAAGACCTTAATATGGTTTTTAAAATTCTCTATTAAATCACTTAGGAATTTAATAAAAAATGACATAGAAGCTTAACTTTTACTGCCTTTCAGAGCCAGACTGTAAGCTTAGAAAGGCGGATTTTCTTTTAAACACAAGTTAATATCATTGTGTAGAGAGGCTAATTCTGCCCAACTTAAGGGCAATTGGTAGAGACATGGCACTAACCTTGCCTAGCTAATTCAGCTAGGTGCCTAGCCTCATAAAAATATGAGACCTTGAACTGTCACCTAATGCAGAGATGCTGTTCCTCGACCCAGTCCCTTCCAGATCTTAGATTAGAACTCCCATAATTCCCTCTTAATGTGTTAAGTGTCTGGGGGGTAGCAAATCAAAGAGCATGCTAACCTGAAATTGTGGAGGATGTACTCAATCATTTGGACAGCACCAAATTGAGGAAAGGCTGTTTTTGGTGTTTGGCATCACTTAAAAATGATACTACCCCATGTAGACTAATTCATTGGTATTTGTTGAGTCTCTGAAAAAAGCAATTTAGGTAGGCAGTATTCACATGCATCCAAATATATCCTTGGAATCCATCTGCTGAATTGTCAGACTGGTTGACACAATACAACTTAATGTTATCCTCTTAATGACATCTTCTGAGGTACACCTACAGAGGCCTGTTACAGGCATAAATTGAGAACTATATCAGTGGAAAGATTTCATTGCATTGGCACCAGTGGATTAAATGTAGTGATTAATTTTATTACCATCCTTGTTTAGACCAAGCTACTAATGAAGCAAATCATGAAGCTGCCTATTAGCAGGCCAACCTTTAGTCATTTCTTTGTTTTTATTATGCTTTTGGATTTCTAGTGAGATCCAAACTCATTCATGGACTGATAGGTGGGACGCAGAACAGAAAAGACTGAGATCTATTACTCTAAAGGAGAAGTGCTACTACCGATATTACTAGTGCTGCACATGAC